GTGATGATCACGGCCACGCGTACACAGAGTAGTAAATTTGTTGCTTAGGTGGTGTTTGGATCGACTTAACTTTAGTCCCTCTATTTAGACACTAATTTAGAGTATTAAATATAGACTACTTACAAAACTAATTACATAAATGAAAGCTAATTCGCGTGATAAATTTTTTAAGCCTAATTAATCCATAATTAGAGAATGTTTACTGTAGCATCACATAGGCTAATCATGGATTAATTAGGCTCAATAGATTCGTCTCGCGAATTAGTCAAAGATTATAAATGGGTTTTATTAATAGTCTACGTTTAATATTTATAATTAATTTTCAAACATCCGATGTGATAGGGACTTAAAAGTTTTAGTCCCATCTAAACAGGGTCTTAATTAACTTGTGCATTGTTAAAACAATTTGGGATGCATATCGCGTACGATAATAATGAGATGAGAACAACAGGAACTATCAGTCAATCGCAAGGTTTTTTCCTGGTTGACCAAGGCAAAAATTAAGACTTTGTATTCTATCGCGGTCAATGGGTTTTTTGTTTAAGATGATTCCAAAACGTGTCGGGCTAGGGTGGTGAGAGGTGTGTGGATATATACAAACGACATGCGAAAATTCCACTTGCACCGGTGCAACCAAAATGCAGCTACATGGAATCAATCTTTGGTAGAAAAAAATTAAAAAAAAAACATGCCCAAAGTAATAAAAAGCACACATAAATTAAGCACCTAATTGACCATTACTATCCTATAGGTAGGCTAAAAACAAATCTATGTCCAATCATTACATGACAAGTAATAATGTATGACAAACATAAAAGATACTCCTACAAACAACCACAAACACGCTAGCATGCTTTATAACGAAGATGTTTGTATAATGACCACACCAACAAAGACTGCACAGATAAAATAGTTCTCCCATACTAGGTTAGTTGACCAAGAACGTTACTAAGCAACATATATAATATAAATACTGAAATTCAACATCATATTTCGACGATATCTACCATCCAAATCGGTACTATCCTAGTAAGCAACAACGACAAACCCAGTTCGTGTCTACCCATCATTCGAATACGTTCATCTGTATCGGGTGGGTTCATCACTACCTTTTTCCCTAAGATACATGATAAAGCTAGTTCTGGATGAAGGAGCTTTTTCCAAAAAGCACCACGCAGGAAAGGCGTTCTTCAGGAGATGGAAAATGGATATTGCCGTGGAAAGAATTCACGAGAAGCAGGACTTTGCCCGGTTGGGTTGGAAGTTGGCCAGGAGACTCAACGAGAACACCGGCGGCATCCAACCAAGGCCTGGTTTAGTTCCCAACTTTTTTTTCAAACTTCTAATTTTTTCATCACATCAAAACTTTTCTACACATATAAACTTTCAACTTTTTCGTCATATCGTTCCAATTTTAATCAAACTTTTAATTTTAGCGTGAACTAAACACACCCAATCGGTGCGTGGAATTTTGTGGTGTGTCCATGCAGCATTTGCTCGATCTTGGTGGGCAGGAGGTTTCCCTGTGACCTGTGAGAGTCCGTGCCGCCGCGGCTGGCCAATCAGGTGGCGAAACGTTGCGCGTCTCGATTGGGCGCCGTGATGCCTTCACCGAAAGCAAAGAGCGTCGCACGTGCGCCTGCCCCATGCTAGCTATAGCAAAGCCTATGTAGGCCATGTTTGGATAGCTCTTGTTAGCTGTAGCTTATGTCAAAAATCTCTTACTACTGTCAGAAGTTTTCTCAAACTGTTTTAATTATCATATATATTCTGAGAATGTATAATTATACAATCAGAAAATAACTAGAAGCTTGAGTTCCTAGATTTTTCGGATTCTCACAAGATGGTTTCTGATTAGCTGCTTTTAAAAATATTAAGCTCCCTAAGGATAGTAGGACACTGGCTATTGCTATCCATTGAAGCCCATCCGCTTCGTAGCCTAGTTTTTACTGCATGGATTGGAATCCTTGTGGGCTCGCTTCCTCACGGGATGTTCTAACCAGATGGGTGTACTCCTTCCATACTCATAAAGGAAGTCGTTTAGGATAATGTTTAAGTCAAACCTTGGGAATATAAATCATGAATAACTCTTAAATTATTGAGTTTGAAAATGTAAAAATTATATGAATAGATTTGTCTTGAAAAATACTTTCATAAAAGTATACATATATCACTTTTCAATAAATATTTTTATAGAAACAAGAAGTCAAAGTTGTGTATTGGAGACCGTGTCAATGTACTAAACGACTTCCTTTGTGAGTATGGAGGGAGTATGTATAGTTTGTAGGCAAATTTTGCTACAGGACATCGCGACTTCGTGGTTTTAGCTGTAGGACACTGCACGAAGTCACTTTTGGGGAAAGACACTCTCAAAATATGGTTATTTGCCAGGGGACACTGCAACCAATAAAATATTAATTTCTGGTTCAATAGGAGAGCTAAACAGTGTAAAAGGTCAAAAATGCCCTCGGGCCCACTTGTCATATTCTTCCCCCACCCCAAACCTCCTTCCTTGCCTCCTCTACCTCCACCGGCGATGACGTCCTCACCCCACCCACCCCCACCCACAGCCACGAGCAACGAGCTCGACGCTAGGATGGGCGGCCAACTCGGCGCAGGGGGAGGCGGCGCCCGCCGACGGCTCCCACGGCGGCGGCCTCACCGGAGCTCCGCCACGAATCGAACTCGCAGGGTTGAGATGAAGAAGCGGAAGAGGCGCGGCGGTGGCGCCTCCGCCGCCTTCGACCGGAGCGTCTTCCCCATCCTGCTCGCCGCCATCGCCGCCGGACAGCGCTAACCCGCGACCCCGAGCAGCCTCCGCCACCGTTCATCGCCATCCCGCCGCCCCAAGCTGCGTCCGCCACCGGCGCCGTCCAACACCCTCCTCGGCGCCGCCCGCTGCCGGCACATCACGCGACGCCCTCGTCGGCGCTACCCGTCCCTGCGCGCCGCTGCCCACGCCCGTCGCCATCCCGCCCCCCCAAGCTGTGACCGCCCCCGGCGCCGTCTAATGCCCTCCTCGGCGCCACCCACCGCCGCCGCATCACGCGACGCCCTTGTCGGCGCCGCCTGTCCCCGCGCGCCATCGCCCACGCCCGTCCCCACGCGCCGCCGTCTTCCGCGTGTGCCCGCACGTCGCCACCCATCGCCCACGCCCGTCCCCACGCGCCGCCGTCTTCCGCGTGTGCCCGCACGTCGCCACCCATCGCCCACGCCCGTCCCCACGCGCCGCCGTCTTCCGCGTGTGCCCGCACGTCGCCACCCATCGCCCACGCCCGTCCCCACGCGCCTCCGTCTTCCGCGTGTGCCTGCATGCCGCCGTCCATCGCCCACGCCCATCCCCATGCGCCGCCGTCTTCCGCGTGTGCCCGCACGCCGCCGCCCATCGCCCACGCGCCACCACCCACGCCCGTCCCCACGCGCCGCTGCAACGCCTCAGTAGCGACCTCACTGTTAAAGGAGGAAGAGAGAGGAAGAGAAAAGGAGATGAGGGCAATTTGGTCATGCCATGTAAAAAGTAGGCCCCTTCTCGCTTAGTCAGCACAAAAATATTAATTTAATGAATGCAGTGTCCCCTGATAAATAACCACATTTTGAGAGTGTCTTTCCCCAAAAGTGACTTCGTGCGATGTCCTACAGCTAAAACCACAAAGTCGCTATGTCCTGTAGCAAAATTTGCCTAGTTTGTATCATGTACTAGTTTCATGTATATATTAATTTATTTTTTAAAATTGTGGTACAACATCTTTAACACACACCGATAATATGAAAGCCAGCGATTGATCAGTGGTCTCGTTGAAATCCTATTGATAACGCAACGCCACGGACTTCAAAAAATTTTGGCATAGACATGTTAATTCTTTGACTTGATCCTTCCGTTTAGTGTTTCTTATGATTCAATTTTTATACGTAGTAAATGTTTTTTAGGATTCAAATTCTATACACAATATATGTATTTCTAGAGTATCCTATCAATCATCTGTCGATTAAATTTCTCTCTGTCATAAATCACCCTCCCTCCTCGAACCACACCTCATTTAATTAGGAACACTATAGTAACTTTTTCTCAGATCTAATCTTCACTAAACAACCTAGAAATGTTTATAGATGAGAAGTTGAGAACGGAGTGAGCAATTGTTTATTTAATTTCTAATAGTCCTTCTTTAGCCAAATGTTTTAGAACGCTGTCATAGCAAGATATTTGCGGCTCACAAATCATCACTTTATGAGACCGTTATTTCTAACTTAAAGTATATATTGCCTAGTGCTTTGCCTTTTTATATTGGAGTTGCAAAGATTCCGGAGAAAAGTTGTCTTTTTATCACGGTGGCTGAATAAATTATATGTTAACACGGAAGCCTATTTTGTCTTTTTTTACGGTCAACTATAATTTTTCTGACTTGGACATCATCTGTTCTTTTTCTTGAGAGTAGCATTTTCACCATTTTCAAAGTAGCATAAAACCATCATGACCGGCTACCACTAAGCTGCGCCTGTCTACTTGTCAAGCTCTACAAAACCGGTCACAGTTTTTTTATGTATATCTCTTCTTTCCAGAAAACTTGCTCTCACTGACAAGTGGGACAAGCCACTACACCCTCCTTCTGGGCCCACCTGTAAGTGACCCATTCGAGAATATTTACGCGAGGGATCTGGTACGCCTAACGATAATACCCCAACGGCTACAGTTCCCATTCGTGATTCCACAAAAGACAGCCAGATTCGGAGATTCCCCTCGGGACCACGTGCCGAGGCGGCCCATCCGGCCCGGTCCGGACGCATCCGCGCCGTCCAACCGAATTCACCCCCGCATCCGGCCGTCCACTCGCCGACGGCTGAGATGCGTCCCCCGCCTCGCTTGATCCGTTTCGTAGGCCGACACTTTGCCCGCCAAATGGCACGCCACCGTAATTAACCCCGAACTCCGGGGGCCAAATATCTACAAAAACAAAGGGTATGGGCGTGAAGCCTAGAGGTAGGGGGGCTACTCGTAGCCTCCGTTTTAAGTACAAAGACTCCGAACCAAAACTCCACGCGATTTGTTTAGATCAAACGGGTTCGTAAAAAAAAAGTTTTATTCTCGGGTTCGTTGGGTTTTATCTATATAGGCGGCGAGCGAGACCATCTCATTCAGTTTTATTCCGCGCGCCTCCTAAATCGCGCTTAATCCGGCGCATCCTGATTCAGAGAGTGGTTTGGATTCGTTGGATTCGAGGTGAACGAACAGGGCGTGGAATTTTCGAGGACTCTCTCCTCTCGCAGAATCCCGCGCGCCTCCTGATTCGGAGAGCGGTTTGGATTTGGATTCGAGGCGAGGAATTTTCGAGGACTTTGGCAGCGGCGGCGGGGGCTGGTGAGCTTCTGCTGCGGCTTGGAGTCTGCCCCCACCATTGCGTGGGGAGGTGGAGGTGGAGGCGGTGGTGGCGGCGGGGGCGGCGGAGGACGATCCTTCCGCGGCTTCGGTGGCAGGTGAGTTCGCCGGGTTGGGTTCGGATTTCGTCTGGATTTGTGGGGGACTCAGTTATGGGTGGTGGTTGCTTGCGGTGGTTGTGGTGGCTTGGTCGTGTTGAGGTGTGGGGTCTCCTTCCTGGTCATCTCCCAGGGCCTCTCGATCGGATCCTCCTCGGGAGTCGGGAATGCGAAGCTGAGTGTGACGCGTGCACGACTCTCGAGGGAGGAATTCCCTTGGTGATCGTGCTGGAGTTCGTGGGATTCGTCGAGCTTTTCGATCCTCTGCTGAAAAAAAAAAGTCGTTCTCTGTCAGTTACTCGTTTCGTTTCAATTGGGTGAGATTTTTTTCCTGGCTCGATTTGTGCAGGTTTGATCCAAATTGAGCGCCCTGAGGATTTGGGGCGTGTTTATGGAGGATTAGATCGAGAATTTTGGTTGTTTCTGTGAGATGGCCGCCGATTCCAGCATGGGATTCCATCAGGGGATCACGGCCTCGATGTACAACCATCACATGCTCTCCTTCCAATCTAACAGCGACTTGGGCGGTGGCGCCGGCGCTGCGGCCGGTATGGTGATGGCCCCGAGGAGCATGAACGGGACTAGTAGCAGCGCTGGGCTGTTCGTCTCTCCGAACACCGGTGTGCTGGGCAACGCATCGGTGGCCGGCCCGTCGAGGAGCTCGTCGGGGGATGCGTTCAGTAGCACGGTGGCGCCCAAGTACAAGTTCGTCACTGGTTCGCCTTCAGATTGGAATGACCGTGAGCTGAACACACTGAAGGAAGGGCTTGTGAGGTAGCAAATCCCTATTCCCCTTTTGCTTTCTGAATTGCTATTGCCTGTGCTGTGCTAGTGTGACTTGTTGCTTGTGCGGTTGTGGCTGATGGAATTTTGGTTGTGCAACAAGCCGTTTTTTCTCCCCTCTTATGTTTAATGGAGCATCAATCCGGAACAGGAAATCTGGAGCTGGATTCATTCAATTGAACCCTGTTACCTTTTGAGTTGAGAGCAATATCAATGAATGTTCTATAGCACTTTTGTGATTATTTAGCGTACTTGTAGAATCATTGTTCTTAACCATAGAACGTCTTTTTCACCGGGCCAGCGAAACCATAAAACGTCTTGGTAGCCACACTTGAGTACCTTACGACTATATGTTTGCACTATAGCTGATTAATAAAGTCACTATCCGGTTTGTCAATCTTATCTGGGGACCAGACCATTTCTTTTCAGTTCCTCATAATTTCTTCAATCTTACTGGCAGATATGCTCGCGAACCGAATATCATGAAGTACATAAAAATAGCAGCTATGCTACCCAACAGGACTGTCAGGGATGTTGCATTGCGGTGTTGGTGGGCTACAGTTAAGTTACTCTTTTCAAATGTCACATTATCTCTTCTGTTTCCTTGTTAACATATATGTTGATTCTGGTCATGTGCAAATTGGGTAGAAGAACTTCTTAACTTCGCTAAAAATTAAGTCAGATGTACACTGAAGACCAAAATTGACACCACCTAGCACCCTCACCACATTGCTCTTTTGACTTTTTGATAGAGGTGCTTAAGCGCTTCATATATTTAATTTTACTTTTTATAATCCTTTATTTCCTTTTGTGACTGATGTGATAATTTGCCATCTGCCAATTACATTCTAGATGTAGGCTGACTTTAGTCCCAAACTTTTTCTTCAAACTTCCAACTTTTCCATCACATCAAAACTTCCCTACACACACAAACTTCCAACTTTTCCGTCATATCATTCCAATTTCAATCAAACTTTCAATTTTGGCGTGAACTAAACACACCCGTATTGTAACTTGGAGTATACAGCTTTTAAAGTTCTAGCAAACGATCAATTCCAACAGGCATATCAAGTATACACAGCATTTAAGGCCATAATAATGACCTGCCCTGGCTGAAATAGACACTTTGTTTGTTTGTTTTATTCTTAATACAAAGCTGTTCATTGTGGTTTCAGACTGGAAATAGATACTTTGTTTACTTTGTTTGTTTACTCCCGTTAATACCAAAATGTACAAAGCTTTTGTGCCTCCCGTAAAATTTGGAAATAGCCACCATGATGCATGTAGTTGATATTTAGCTGTTGCTGCATGCATTGTTTTCTCTTACATTGCTCCTCCAACAGGTTATTTGTTTACTGGCTTGCATTAGTATAGCAGCTCATGCACTGTATTCTGCTCACATTCGTTTACTGTTACAGAGTAAAGATAGAAGGAAGAAACCTGATGGATTTTATACAGGGAAAAAGATAAGAGACATGAAGGTAGTTTTCTATTTGTAACTTGTTTGGTGTACCTCATTTCTTTTGCTTGTATCAGCCATGTTCTTTTGAGTTTAATTTCTCAACAGCCAATCCAGGACAAGATGGTTGCATCTGCCTCCATGGCTAATTTTCACCTGGCACCTGCAAACACTGTGACCCCTTTCTCAATATCGATGCAACATACAAATCAGCAATGTCAGGTTCCTAAGGAAGGCAAGACCACAGCAATAACATTAACATCTATATGTTTGCTTTCTTCTGTTCAGCTGTTTTAGTTCATCTTTATTCTGTACTACAAGTTTGAGGTTTGACCCACAGTGTGTTCTAAAATTGTGAAAACTTTAGGTCTGTTAGATAGTGAGGTAAACATCAAAACTTAAGACCCATGTTAAAAAAACAACTTGAGACTCAGTGTTTCCCTCTGTTTAATTTCATCATAGAAACGTGGTTCACACACTTACATTGTTGGGCTAACATTAAGTGTGTGTGTGTGTATATATATATATATATATATATATATATATATATATATATATATATATATATATATATATACATATACATACCATATGAGTAGATTTTAATGCTCTTCCAAGAATTCCTAACAAACTCAAATTGCTTGTGTTCTTGAGGCTGCTTACTACATTTGTAGTCAGTAGAAGCATCCTCTGGAAGCAAACTTCAGATGCCTTTATGTGGTGCGCATGCTGTATTAAGATTGTGTCACCTATAGATCCCCGTGCAAATACAAGAAAGATCTAGGACAAAACACAAGCAAGTAGCAGTGTTTCCAATTTCCATGCTAAGCAATCTTTTATATATGATTATGAATCCTTGGTAACATCTTTAGAAACTGTTTTTTTCTTGTGAAATACCTTGGAAAATAGCAATTGTTAGCTTTACTATTATTTCGTGATACAAGCTTACTGATATCATCGGATGCTAGAAATCCACAACTGCAAAAGAATGGGGGTTGCTGTATTTGATGATCATGTAGTTTTGTCCGTTTATAGGTCTATGATGGAGGAAAGGTTCATACATCCCATAGTAAAGGAAAAGGGTGTTGCGTTGCACCCTCCTGTTTATATTCTTTGTGTTTGCCTTTCATCCTTTCATTATCTTTCACCGTAAACTTTAGGAACATAATGTAATAAAACACCTTGGGTTTCATTATCATTTTAGATACCTACAACTATCTCATGCAATGCAACTGCATGCATCTTATGATGTCTTATTTCTCCCAAAACACTCATCTGGTTCCATTATGTAGAAGTTCCTGTCGTGGATAGTGCAACACAGCATCTCCTGGAAGAAAACAATCATTTACTCAACCAAATCGCCACAAATATCGAAACATTCAAGGTTTGTATGTCCATAAACTTCTCGCATTTTAATTCTAAAGTTGTTGCTTTTGAAGTTAATGAGTGCCCTTACGTTAGAAAAAAAAGTTAATGAGTGCCGGTCAAGGAGCATATGATGCTTGCCAAACATCTTAATTTCATTACAATAGTTGGTTTAAAAGTCGGTTTATCTATTGAAAATGCTGTCGTAATATGTGATCAACTAGTCCTTGCCCTGAAAATATATGCCCCTTTAACTGTTATATTTACGGGGCATCGTGTGAAACCAATAATGTCATCTGCCATCAATTACTAGATATGGGGAAACACTTAATATAAGTTGGAACCTGTCACTCTCAGGCTTTATGAATATTAAAAATAAGGCAGGACAACTGGACAGGTGTGGGTTACCATTTGTTTTCTTTTTAATTTTATTATGCCTGAATCCTGAGTTTCTTGCAGACGGGAGAGAACACGGATCTCTTTTTTCGGACAAACAACAACTTCAAAAATATTTTAAGCAGGTAAAGCGTCATTTATGTGCCCGCCATGTATCTTGTTCTTTATATATTGCTTTGAGGACGATTTTTACTCTTCATGTCCAAACACTGCCATGCCATCCATTATTATGTTCCAAATTAGATAGGAGCCCCTAGTTAACTATACCATCCATTATCATGTTCCATTATCATTATCAAAGCCTGTACCATCTTTTATCATTTTGGGATTGCTTCCTGTTAACTGGTGTTTCTTGTTCTAGGCAGTATTCAATATTCATGTTCGTAGAAACAAAATATAATATTTTTTCCTTTTGTGCTGCAGAATGAGCGAGACGCCTGGTATCATGGGCCAGATGCCCCAATTGCCAGTGCAAGTAAACGAAGACCATCTGAGTTCACTTCTTCAGCTGGACAGAATGGTAAGAGGGGACCCGTAATCACAAGAGATTCAAACATGTACGCAGTATTTTTCAGCACGTTCATCACCATTTACTTCATTTTCTTCCCTTTGCTCTTAAAGTAGTCGATACATAGGATGTTAACAGCAGGATCTTGTAATCTACATGCCTTAACCACAATGATCGACACCCACTGCTAGGTTCCTTCGTATGGCGTAACGCAAACCTCTCATATGAAGCAAGAACCGCGAAGCTAGTATAAACATACACGAAAACAAGGACTTGAAAAGGAAAAAAAAGAGCAGATGGCTGGAGCTCCGCCGCCCAAGTTTCGTGTACCATGAAGAAGGCTAAGTTGCCGCACCGAGTGAGCGAGCGCCAGGAACAGTCCCGGCGTTTCTTTCTTCCAGCGAGATTGTTTTCCAGTGATCTGATTGTCTGCCCGCCTGCCTACCTGCCCGAGTTGAAAGCTGTTGAAAGCACCGGAAATTGAGGCCTGCAGCTGCTTGCGGGGGTATGCGCAACGGGCGAGCGAGTTGCTGTTGTTGTACCTGGTTGGGTATCCAGCGAAATGAATACACCAGACACTTGATTCGGGAGTGAGTAACACGCACACAAGTGACTGTAAATATTTGGATGGCTGGAGGTGTTCCCCTGTCCTGTTTTGTTCTCTCTGATTGGTCGTCAATATATTTTTCGGAAGGGTACCTTGTATGTTTTTCCACTTTGGAGAGTTAGGAGGGCACCTTATGTATTATTGCATAGTTGGAAGATCGTGTTGATAAAACCAACAAAAAGATGGCTTTAGGTTTTGAATAGAATGCCCATTGCATTTATACTTCGTTCTGTGATCGCCCTTATTACTCCCTCAGGTCGTTTTGAACTTCGTTTATAGTCAAACTTCTTAAAAGTTTGATCAAGTTTATAGAAAATTATAATATTTATGGCACCAAAATCTAACATTCAATATATTTTAAAAGTTTTTATTGCTAAATTTTAATATAAACTTAATCAAAACTAAAAAAATTGAATTAGAAAACGTTCAAATGATTTCTATATGAAACGGAGGCAGTATGAGTAACCGGCCGCACGTACTGCGCTGACAACTGCATCCGTCCTCCGCCAACCACATCTGATCTTCTACTCTCTTCCCCTTTTTTTTCTCCAATAACAGTTAGATTAAGATTAAGATTTTCGTGGCACGCTTTTCAAACTACTAAACGGTGCGTTTCGTGTGAAAACTTTCTATATAAAAGTTGTTCTAAAATATCATATTAATCTATTTTTCAAGTTTGTAATAATTAAAAATTAATCAATCATATGTTAATACCACCTCGTTTTACGTAAAAAACTTAATCTTCATCTTCATCTATGTTCCAAAATACTCTAGTAGTTCAAACTTTGTTCTAAAGTTCCAAGTACCATGGGTAAAAGTTTACAGTGATGAAATATCTAAAATACATCTCACCTCTACCGGCCAGGACAATTAATAAAGGCATTTCTACACTTTTCCTTCGCCTCCATAAAGAACTCAAGAAATAATTACTATTACTATACTATATTTTAAGATGGAGGGAGAACTAGGATGGACGCCCTATGGGCTAGTTTAGGCAAAACACACTAATCCTGTGTGCTAGCTCAGGGCACAATTTTGGGAAGTTCCATAGTCAAACACGATAAATAATGTGTCAGCAACATGTTCCAAATTTTCAGCAGGCTATTATGTTGATAGCAACATGTTCCAAACTAACAGGTTATTATGAACAGAAACCAATGTTGCGTGTTGTTGACATAGTAAATACTGCAACTGTACAACAAAAATTATAATCCATTATTAAAAAGCCGAAAATGACCCCTCATCGCACCTCAAATAGTACTACTGTACAATCATATACACTCCAGAAAAGAAAAATGCAAGAACACCCCTTTAATCAAGATCTGTTACTGGACTTGAAAAATGAGCCTTGCCCCGTGCCCGAAACACAAGGAAAACATCCTATCTAGCACTACCAGTGAAAACCACTATCCTGCAACATGCATATGCTATGTAGCAAGCACAAAACATTGGAAGTTTGGAACAGAAGCTGTGTGCTTTCTGAGCAACGAGCAGTGCAGCAAACTATAAAACCACCGTGAGCCATTTAAAAGCCCTCCATGAACAAATACATATGCAGTTACTTTACAAAAGATCAACTGGCAGGATGATCAATACTTGCCTTCTCCACGGTACCTTCTGCAGGTAGTTCTTCAATAGCAGGTGTGCTACTGGCAACAGGACTCTCTGCAGCTAATTCTTCAACTGCTGGTAAGTTGTTGGCAATAGGACTTTCTGCAGGTAGTTCTTCGGCAGATGGTAAGTTAGTAGCAACAGAACTTTCCGCAGGTAATTCTTCAACCGTGGGTAAGTCTTTCACGATAGGGCTGCCGGCACCTGAGTTTGCAAGGTTTGCACCGGCGTGGCCAATGCTGCCATCGGAATGAGAAATAGGAGTCTCCTTACCAGGAGATACCATTTCATGCTCATCATGCTGCCGTGGTCCATTGAGGGCATTACAGTGCGGGCAGTAATATGTAATGAATGCAAAGTCCTCTTTCCTTGCAAGACCTGCAACAGTGAATGGTTTATTATATAGAATCTGTATGAAATATTGGGAAGATAGTTATCACTTTCATACCATTATGCATATGGCAGTTGCCACATATTAACGCATAGCACTGAGTTGGATCTTCCCCTACAAGCAGAGCAGCTGCTCGTGCGAGCCATCCCCCATCATTACCAGCTGGACCTCTGAAGTGGTCAACAGTCCTCTGATTTGGAGTGGTGACACCTTCATTACCATCATAGGCATATGAACCGCCTAATGACTCAGGGCCGTATGTCCTTCCAGTGCTGTTGCTCAAGTGTCCTGGTTTTCTTTGCCTCGGTCCAGTAGTTTGGGCATCATTACTTTTACTCAATGTTGCATCCCTATTCGACTCATCTCCCAAGAAGACTCTCAATCCAGAATCAGCACCCAGTTTAGATGCCAAAACAGTTGCTGCAGCAGCTTTTGCAGCAGGATCAAGATCATATCTCTGCATGACCAAAACGAAGTTTCAGCAATAGTTAGAAGATGTAAACCTTTCAAAGGGGAAGAGTAAAAAAATAGCACACTTGGGTGGCCATAACATAGAGCAAGTAGGCAACAAGCCCACCTGTATAAGTTGTTGAGTAGTGTAGTAATTCGTTCTCTCCTTCAACTCATCAATCTTAGCCTGTCTTTCAGCACGGAGGTTTTCAAGAGTATGTTGATCTCTGTTGTCAACTGCAAGATAGAATCAGTATTGCAGTTTAGGCATAAAGGATAGGGTGTATTAATTGGAGCAGTTTACTAGACGTAACTCGGTTGTTCCACAAAACCATTCGGCAAATGACAAAAAAATAAAGTGTGGAAGTAACATGGTCAACTCAAAAACATCTGGAGAATCTGGCAGGAAACATGGCAGTCTCATAGTTTTTTTTTGTCTCCCTGACTTCTAGGGATAGGAAAAATAGCTACTCCCTTTGTCCCATAATATAAGGGATTTTGGAGGGATGTGACATTTCCTAGGACTACGAATCTGGACAGGGGAGTGTCACATCCCTCCAAAATCCCTTATATTATGGGACGAAGGGAGTAGAGCCTAATGCTGCATTAACACCTGAACACAACAGAACATACACAGCAGTAAGATACAGCACAATGCAGATGCAAGTATTCCTTACGCATTTTCGTGACGCTTGTAATAGTTGAGTAAATGAGAGCAGCTAAAGCAGGAATCAGGAACATGGGCAGCACCCGGGTTGCTCTCATCTGCCAGCTGAGGTCCGGTGATCTTGTAGTCATAATCGCATATCCAACAGCCGCAATCTGTTCCAAAAAGGAGAAATAAGCATTTCCTTACACATACAACCCTGTGAAAAAACACAGTTCGCCCTGATCTAATCTAACAACAGGCATATGCCTAATGGTGTCACTAGAACTAGAGCAATGCAATGCATCATACAATCTCTGACACGACATGAAAATTGCAGAATAATACGGCATAATTTATCTTAGCAGGCTGTATGTCATGATAATCGATGCCTAATTAGCTTCCCAAAGCTGTATCACATCAGGATTTTCATATGGAACTGGATTTTATCAATCCTCGATTTTATCGACCCAACCTACAAGCGATCGATTCGTCTGGACGAACATGACATTTATATTTGCTACAATAAAGGAAGCAGAGCGGAATGGGATTAGCCGGATGGGGAACGGCGGGGGAGTTGGGAACTAGGGATACCTCGAGCGCGGCGGCGATGGCGAGGACGTTGTGGGCGGACTGGCGGGAGGCGCGGGCGCGGCGGCGGAGGCGGGAGCGCACGGCCTCCTCCTCCTTGGAGAGCGCCTGGAGCAGCTTCTCGACGTCCTCGCGCCGCCCGAATATCCCCTTCCACACCCGCGACACGAGCCCGCGCTGCCTCCTCTTCTGCGTCGACGGCGTCTCCGGCGGCGCGGGGGTCCGCGGCGACGCCGCGGAGGCCGCGGCCGAGGCGGCGTAGGCGTCGCCTTCTGCCATGGCAGCTCCCGCGATCGGGGGCAGGGGAATCCGATCGGATCGGAGAAGAAGAAAACGCTAAGCTGCCCTGCGGATTTCGTACGTGTTTCTTCGTGGCGAATTTTCGGAAACAAGGAAGGAAGGATCGCTTCGTGCCGCGTTTTTGGGGAGGAAAGGCGAGCGGAAAGGCGTCGTGGTGAGGTGGTCGGCGGGCGTGCGGACGTGTTGCCTTTGCCTCTCTCTCTCCCCCCGTTTTTATTCTCTTTCTCCTCACCATCTGCAAATGCAAATGTTACGCGTTCGTGTGTGTTACCCTATGGCTCCACGACGACCTGGCCCCCGGCAGCCTAGTTTTGAATTGCAATGGGCGGCCAGCTCGTCGGAGTTGACGGCCGCGGTGCCGCCTACGACGTTCGAATACGGTGATGGCGCCTGAATTTGCTTACTGCAAAAGGGTTAGCTTAGCTTGTAAGCAAAAATGTTAGCTTGGCTTGGAACCATTCAACATGAGAGCAGTTTAGGGTGTGTTATTTTCGGATCAGGATCCTCTGCAATCAACTGCATCACGCCTTTGTGAGATATAGATCAGATCTGGACCCACATGTCATGCAGCGGATCTTAATCCTCACCTCCTCTTTACCGACTTCTATGGTTCTAAAGATAAAACAATATAGCCCTCATATGTATTCTATGGAGTACATACCCCGTTAGAGAGTTGACATAATACATTAGAAAACAACACAATAGATTTTTCGACATTTACAACAAATTTCTATAAGTTGCTTTAAAGTTTAAAATTTTATATTAATACTTTATCAAGTTTTTGCTAATAATTAATTAGTCATATGCTAATCCACCACTTCATTGCGTTAAGGATTAGTTCCTAACCCACAATAACAAAACACAGCACAACTTAATTTCCTCAGCTTGAGGAGCAATTTCCATCCAGCATTCAGTCGAAAGTAAACCGGATTACCGGAATCATCAGCTACAGTTGCTTCTATTGCGATAGAGGTACTAGTTCGCTCGTCATGGAATGAAAGCTACAGAAACTAATAAACCCAAAAAAAAAAAGACTTGTGGCATTCAATTTACATTTTACAACACCATTAGATGGCCATGAACTGCACTCATCCAACTTATAGTTCTCGCTATCTATGAGGCTAAGATACAGCTATGAGAAAGATGGGAACAACAGGCACAACATAGCACACAACATATGTGCCAACCGCATATGCCTCCATTATGTACCTGAGGATTCTACTACTAGATTGGTGTCACAGAATCACATGACACCTTCAAAGCTTGAAACACGTGCTGCTGTAGTCGCCACGTTTAGATACGAACCCCCATTATGCTCTGGTTTCATGAGAAGAACTGCTCAAGGCTTGGAGAGTTAAATACATTACCCGCAAGTTGTCCTCCTTCTATTGAGGAAACAAAGAGTTGGCACCGAATGAACCGCTGGTAGCAAAGAAACGAAGATAAACATGTAGAACATGACTATCAGAAGGCACCTGGTCCAAGAAAAAAGAAATGAAGATGCAAGAGTACATACAGATAGTTGGGAAATTATATCGAGGCTTGTGTCAATGTGAAAATCTGCCTCTAACTGTCGAACAAATGAAGTTCGCCCAACTTCAGAGCTGCAGAAGAGTACCTGCAATACCCACCTTTTTCACTCAATTATAGATGTAGGTGACAGAAGTAAATAAATTATTTAACACCTAGATATTTCAGGGTTCTGAATATACAGGAGAAATACTTCTTTTCTCAGCCAGAACTTGGACTGAAACTCAGCTGGGTATGCAGAACTGATATGAGTGCCAGACAAAGTCAGCTCCATATGCAGAACTGATATGCAAGCGCCAATAGCATTTCCATGCACATGTATCAATTAGTATCAGTTGCCTCTACCAAAAGTTCAATCATGTGAAACGTTTACTGTAACTGCTAACATCTGTATCCTCCTATGAATTTGGTGAAAACAGGCCATTCATGTTCTACCATCCATAAATAAAATGAGAATAATTACTCAATGCAGCATTGAAATGACGTGGGGAATGGAGGGAACATGAGAGGAACAAAAAAACAAACGCAGTACAATAACTAAAAGTAACGCAAACATTTCACCTTTTCTTTCATCAAGCCACCAGTCTTGAAAAGTCCAGCACTCTCCAGGGCCAATAGAGCATTCTCCTACTCAAAATCAAATTCCAGAACTATTAATACGGTATATATCAATATTTCCCTCGATAATTCTCATAAAAAATCTCACATGATAAAACTGCAAAGAAATGAAAGGATGCACTATGAAATTCATACCTCACTCTTATCATCAAGTACAGTTTCCATCAGATACAAATCACAGTATTTGGCTATTTCGAGTAGTAGTTCCACCACTGAAGGTCTAACAGTGGCATGTGTCTGCATCAAGAAGAGTGCAGATGATTTTAGCATTTCAGCAATTATTGGAGGGGCACATAACCATTGGAAGAGGCATTGCTAAACAAACCTGAAGCTCCTGAGGAGTTATCTCCTCAAAGACAACACCAAGCAGTTGGCAAGTCACCTGGATAAAAAAAAAATTATGAACTTCTGCAAATTTTAAGAAACCAAATATGTATTTCATTTATTTCAAGTCTGCCAGTATTTATGATTACAATTTACAGTGTCAAGTTAAATCACTAAAGCATTTGCTCTTTGTAACTAAGAGTATTATGTCAGATCACTATAGCCAGAAAGCACCTAACAGTTTGATCTTCGCTCTCTAGTGGTAAACTTATATCACAATAAAATTGTCCTCATTTTTTAATTCCTTATACCATTTGCTATGGTCATCCTCAAACAAAGAGAAACTGACTTGTTTAGGAGTATATGTAAGCCTACAGGCTTAAATTTCAAATAAGGTCTGCTCTAGATCCTTAAAATCAATCATGGAAACACAGGATAAAATTATGTTTAGGGAATTATTTGGTACAGACAAAGCATTTAAAAAAACAAAATAACCCATCAAATCACCATTCTTCGTAGCTAGAGCAGTTTGAGTGAACAATTGACCCCGGGGTTACAGTAGAGGCTCTACAAGTTTCTTTGTATCCCGGCAATTTACAAATATTTCAAAGAAAATAAAATAATAAGCCTCAGATATTTCAGGTCAGTGCTTTCTTAATACCACCCAGCTGCAGGGACCGACCACCTTCTGAACATGCCACTAGGCTGAACTTTTCTGCATGCATGCGATAACCTTAGACTCAACAGCCTTACCTTTTGTCCCGTCATAGTACAGGTAGTAATGCATCATAAGTTAATGCGGCTTTCTGTAGTAATTAGTGATCAATAGGTGGAACCAGTGCATTTTAAGCCATTGTCTTCTCATTGATCCAAGATTTTACACGTGTGGTTGTACATTTATGGAAGCTAAATTCCAAAAGTTCTCAAATATAATTTATCTCAACATTAGACAATCAGGCATGCCAAACCCAAGCAATGAGCTGCCACATAGGCAAATTAAACATTTATTTCTTAAACGCGTAATTGATATCACATCATCGAAGTTTCATCAACCCGCTGATGACAAGGCGCAAGGAGAAACCATACCTTTCTACACCCGCCCAGTCGCTTCACCACGATTTGCCGTGTCGTCAGCTGCCATACACACAAACCCCAATCCAATCAAGGGTTGAAAAACCCACAAACAAATAGAACCTAGAATAAATATTATCCAAAAATCATCACACCAATCAGAGGATCAGACCAACCTTCCCAGGATTGGCAGGCTCGGCCGCATCGCGAGCGGCGGAATCGGGGGCAGCAGGGCCGACGAGCGGCCGCTTCGGTCCGGGGGGGCGGCGCGGCCTGGCCGGCGACGACCGCAGGAACTTCCACGCGAACACGACAGCGATGGCGAACCCGGCGACGGCCCCGAGGGATCCGGCGCTCTGGTGGGGGCACACACACGATACGAGACGAGACGGGGAAGCCCATCTAGGGTTAGGGTTCGCGCGACGCGCGTGTAAAACCGAAACTACGACGCGATGTTTACCTTGTGGTGGAAGAGGAGGCCGACGAGGTCGGTGAGGCGGCGGTTGAGGGCGCGGGAGACGCGGCGCACCAGCGAGACGGTGTCCTGGTCGGCGGCGAGGCCCGGCATTGCGCGGGGTGGGGGTGGGGTGCCGTACGGCTTGGCTTGACTTGCTTCTGCCGCGTGGTTGGGCGAGGTGGGGGAGGTGGTCGTCGGGGGGGTGGGTGAGGAGGTGGTGGAGGATTGGGGAATCGCCGGATTGGGAGGTGGAGACGAGGGGAGGAGGAGGAGGAGGAGACCGCGAAATTGCGGGGGCGACGAGAGGAAGCGAGGCGGGGCGTGATGAGACTGATGTGCTTATCTTCTTGGCACAGGAAGCCACGAAAGGACTAATCCAAGAATTTCTTTTTTGTTTATTTGGCCTTGGCCGTATTTAGATCCAAACTTCAGTCCTTTTTCATCATATCAACATATCATGCACACACAACTTTTTAGTCACATCATCTCTAATTTTAACTAAAATCCAAACTTTACGCTGAACTAAACACAGCCTAGATCCAAAGTTTTTCTTCAAACTTTCAACTTTTTCATCACATCAAAACTTTCCTACACACATAAACTTCCAACTTTCCATCACATCGTTCCAATTCCATTTTTGATATGAACTAAACACACTCGTTCCATGATGTTTCTTTAATAAATGTTACTTTAAAAGAAACTATTTTCTTCGTTAATATTATAGCATCCTATACTACGTGTCTACGTAGAACACATCATACTACAATCTGAACGGCCGAGTATTAGTTTTTTTATATTTTGTGTCGGGATAGTATTATTTTTTTTTCTTTGGAAATTCAGAATAAATAAATACGGTATTGTTTTCATGATCAATAAGTGCCGATTCAGATTTTTTTTTAGTTTGATAAATATTAGCTGTGTGCTCTGAAGTTGCATCAATGATGTAGACTTTCCGGTTTAACTCTGCCCTCTTTTAGTTGCTGGCCAAAAACAAATCTACATTTTAGTGCTCGTCAGATCGAAACTACGACGTATTTGCTGTACAAAACCAGCTTCAGCTGCTTTGAATAAAGTAAGCTGATTGCTTGACAATACCTCCAACTCAAGTGTGGAGTTAGCGTAGACCACCTGGTAGAGTGTATGCAAATAACATGACCATTACAAGCTAAGCACCCAGGCTGAACTGAACCAACCAACGAATTGACCTGTTTTTCATTTTAAACCAGAGCTACCGATGGGTTTCTGAACCTGAATACTCGCTATGGGTGACTGAAATGAGTGAAAACAAAACAATTTATATTTGTTCATCAGAAAAGAAAATCATTCCCAAACAAAAAAAATCCAACTAGAAGAATGAAAACAGTAACGTACTACATTAACTGCGTAGGCATATCCGTCGAAACATGAAAGTGAAACTCAGATTGTAATACAATTTCATTTTTTTAGATAATGTGTAATCAATTTTCTATTTCACAAACATGATAAACATCCGATTTTAAACTCACCAATCAGTAGAGGACTAGAGGAACTGAACTGAAACCTTTATTAATACCATACCAGCAGGCTCAATAGTGTGACTAATAAACAAGATGAACAAGAACGTCTTCAGTTTTGCAGTCTCTAAAATGAAACTGGGTCAAGCATGTACGACAGAACGATATTGTTGTTAGCAGAGGTTACTGCTAGTTGCATCAGTATAGCACATTCCTCTCTGATCGTTTGTTCAATTATTTGATAAGATAAGCCCTAAGAAAATTAACCAAAGCAACCAAATTTAATATATAAGTAACATTTTTATATTTGATTTATTAAAGAACTAAAAGACACGTCCAAGTCTAGAAACCATAGGTTTATTTTAAGGATGAAATAAATAGTGCTGAAAAATAAGCTATGATAAAAACAATCATCATAATTTATTTAAAATTGAATTCCGTTGAGCGAGCAATTGTTGGGAGGCTTGAACCATGGTTTACCAAACCATTAAGGGTGGTATATCATGATTTTAAAAACTAAAATGTTTACCACACGTGACAACCACGATAACCCTGTGGTTTTGTAAATACTGCTCAGCCATTAGCAAAGCGTTCAAGAGGGAGAGAGGAGCGTACACTGGTTCGTTGCATGCGAGCGTGATCACGAATGCCACCGGACTGGTCGCGCCTCGGACTGGAGGAGGCGCTCGCCGCGGCGGCGCTGCTGCTCCGATCGTGCTCCCCTCGCCGCGCTGTCCTCCGCCGCGCGCGCGCGGTCCACGCGCTCCTCGTGGTCTCCTCCACGCCCTCGTCGCCCGCGCTGACCACCTTCCTCGCCAACCAGCTGCTCTCCCTCTACGCCCGCCTCTCCGCCGTCCCCGACGCCCTCGCGCTCCTCCGCTCCACGCCGCGCCCCTCCGTCGTCTCCTACAACACCGTCCTCTCCGCGCTCTCCCGCGCCCCGCGCCACGCGCCCGAGGGTCTCCGCCTCTTCCGCCGCCTGCACGCGTCGGGCCTCCGCCCCACCGCACCTAGCCTCTGCGCCCTCCTGCGCACCGCCGGCGAACTGCGCGACCGTCGCGCGGGGGCCGCCGCGCACTCGCAGGCCGCGACGCTCGGCTTCCTCGCGAGCGACATCGTGCCCACTGCGCTGCTGCAGATGTACTCCCAGTGCGGCGCGCCGAGGGACGCCAACCAGGTGTTCGACGAAATGGCGACGCGGGATGGGGTGGCGTGGAACTGCGTGATGCACTGCAATGTGCGGTATGGCTACCTTGACCGCGCTCTAGGTCAGTTTTGCCGGATGGTGAGGGGTGGATTGCCACCCACCGAGAGCACGCTCTCGTCAGTGCTGAGTGGTTGTGGACGAGCTGGGGATTGCCTCCGAGGGCGTGTGCTCCATGGATGGGTGGTGAAGTTGGAGGAGCTTGATCCTGACATGCCACTACAGAACGCGCTGCTCGACATGTACTCAAGCTGTGGTGATCTGGATACTGCACTGCGCGTGTTTGAGAGAATTGAGACGCCGGACTTGGTGTCATGGAATACTCTGATTGCTGGGTTTTCTGGAGTTGGGGATGGGTGCAGCGCTGTGCATGCCTTTGTGCAGCTGAAGGCTGTACAGTTCGATGAACGAGTTGTCCCTGATGAGTACACGCTTGCAGCTGTGGTGTCTGCTTCTGCTACTTTGCCTGCAATGTTTGGTGGGAAGCCGCTTCATGCCGAAGTGATCAAAGCTGGACTGGAGAACAGCGTGTTTGTAGGGAACACACTGCTCAACATGTATTTTACAAACGATGATCCCCATTCTGCACGGATTTTGTTTGATTCCATTACCCAGGAGGATGTAATCATGTGGACTGAGATGGTTGCAGGCCACTCCTCATTGGGTGAGGGAGAATTGGCCTTAAGGTACTTTGTTAGCATGCTTCAGGAAGGTTACAAGGTCGACAGCTTCTCTTTGAGCAGTGCTTTAAACTCCACGACCGAGCTTGCAGGCCTTAAACAAGGAGAGATGCTCCATGCTCAAGTGGTAAAAAGTGGTTATGAAGGCAATATTTGTGCCTCCGGAAGCCTAGTTGACATGTATGCAAAAAATGGTGCTCTCCCAGGGGCTTATTTGGTGTTTCGTAACATACAAAGACCAGATTTGAAGTGCTGGAATTCTATAATTGGAGGATACGGTAACCATGGGAATTCTGAAATGGCATTTAAGTTATTTGGTGAGATGATTCGGGATGGGCTGCAACCTGACCATGTAACTTACATCTCCATCCTCTCTGCATGTAGCCACTGCGGACTAGTTGAGAAAGGAAAATTCTATTGGTTCTGTATGATGACTGATGGTATTGTGCCTGGGTTCAAGCACTACACTAGCATGGTCAGTTTGTTGGGTAGGGCAGGTTTGTTGGATGAAGCAGTTGATTTAATGATGAAATCCCCTTTCGCCAAGAAATGCCCTGAACTATGGAGAATTCTGCTAAGCTCCTGTATAACATTTAGAAATTTATCCATTGGTGTTCATGCTGCTGAACAGGCGCTAGAGCAGGACCCAGATGATATTTCAACACACATATTGCTTTCAAACCTTTACGCCTCTTTAGGTAAATGGGACTTTGTTGCTGAAATTAGGAAAAGAATGAGAGGGCTAATGGCTGATAAGGAGCCTGGGCTGAGCTGGGTCGAGATGAAAAATGTGGTTCATGTCTTCTCTGCAGACGATGAATGCCACTCTCATATAGATGATTGCCACAGCGAATTGCTTAGACTTAAAGGAAACATGGAATTATTGGATACTTGTGAAAATGAGTTCATGTCAAGTGGCTAAGTTGCATGAACAGATTAGAGGATTTCATTTGCTTCCTTTGGTCCTATGACTTATGGCAACAAAATAGACTTATACAAGATTTTGAGCATAAGAAAGGTATTATCTGTGAAGGGACAACCTATCGATTTAATGGTTCCAACTTTCAAATTAGCGCTCCCGGCAGCATTGGAGGCAGGAAAGAGACACTAAAGGTATCAAGCTCCATCAAACAAGATATAGATGTGCAAATAACCCAAAAAAGGGACAGAATTCTGGGTCAGTGCTCTAGTGTCTTTCTCCGTTACATCAATGCAACTGCTTGCTCCTTTTTTGTGTATATATGTGATCAGCAGCAGCATTTCTTGCTATGGATATGTTTTGAGTAAATTTCAGAAAACCCTCTGTTTTATGGTCACAGTTACAGAAAACCACAGGTATTATGACATGCGGCACCTAACCATATAGGTATAACAGTTCTAAAGTTTGACAAAACCCTACCCTTATGCATTTTGAGCACAGATTACTTACAATTCTAAATCATAGTGTGTACATGAAAATTTTAATTTTTAAGTTCTTGACTAAGGTTGATAATTAAAATTTTTACTAATTCAAAAGAATTGTTCAAGATATGCAAAATTAGGCCTAGTTCTATTTTTCAACTTCAAACTTCAACTTTCTCGTTTTCCGTTAGCACGCTTTTCAAACCGTTAAATGGTGCGTTTTTTAAAAAAGTTTTTATACATAAGTTGTTTAAAAAAGCAAATAAATTCATTTTTGAAATTTATAATACTTAATACTTAATTAATCATGTGCTAATGAGATTTCTCGTTTTGCGTCAAAAATCTATCTGCCAAACGGATGATCAAACGGGGCCTTAATCAAGATTTCAATAAATGTGGGGTTTTATGAAATATTTAGACCATAATACATGTGGTTGTGTGCCACACATCATAATATATGTGGTTTTCTGCAACTTTGATCATAAAATGTGAGATTTTCTGAGTTAGCTAAATTTCCATGTTGCCCTTTTTAATGGTCTCAATAATTTTGTTGTTGCTTGTTGAGTACTATCTGATATTGTTTCTGACAAGAGCTTCCTCAGTATATGGGTTACACATTTTTCAGTCTTGATATTTGCTTCTATGGGACATTATGTCAAAGTTATCTCGGTAAATGTTCAGTTTTAACTAACGGCATAAGGACCCCGGACTTCAGAGCAACCTGTCTCAATCAAGCCGTTCATACCATGCAAGGTGCCTGAAATCTGAATCAATACTTCCTTTGTTGGTGAAGCATAGCACTTTAGAGTTTGATTTATTAATTCATTTTCTTTTGTTTCAGAACTTTAGACAGCTGATACTCCATCAATCTGAAGTTTGAATATCTCAAGTTTCTCTGATTCGGCAATCATCCAGATCCATCATTAATCTCTTAATATGCATAGTTAACTTCGTCTGCTGCTCATTTTTCACCATCAAATTCCTAGCCAGTGCTTCGTAAAGATAGTAAGATGGACAGTGAAGTTCAGGGCATATTGCTTCTTATTAAAAGCTTGTTTTAGTGTGATATGGCAAATGAACTACCCTGAATTCTGGTTTCATGAATAGATTTTACACAATTATTTTTCTTCTAGCCTGCATATAGTAGTTGTAGCTTCATTAGGCGGTTAAAAGAAATTTTAGAAGCTTGAACTCTGGGTCCTTCACGTTTATGATTTGTTCAGATTTAGTTATTGCAGTATATCTCTTTTTAAACTTCGTTAGCTAACGCCTGTCTAAATTGCACTGTTCAGTGTACCAGTTCAGGGTTCTGCCGAAATCATTCTAGGGCCGTGTTTAGTTCCAAAATAATTCTTCAAACTTCAACTTTTCCATCATATCAAAACTTTCCTACACACAAACTTCCAACTTTTCTATCACATCATTCTAATTTCAACCAAATTTTCAATTTTGATGTGAACTAAACACATGCAAGTCTTACAGTAGCTTCTGGGTGTATTATAGAAAACTGTATTGTTTGATACTAGCACAATAGCTCAAGTAAAGTAACGGCTGTGCGAAAGTGCGAAACCAAAAATCCAGTCCACGCTGCAAAACAGGTCAATGCCACCTACTAGTACTTATTTTTCCCATGCAACCACCGTGATTCAAGAATAGGCAGACAACCCACGCTGCGACCGGCAAGGTTGTACTAGAATTTAGGCTACTCAACATTCATCATGACTACTCGCCGTTGTTTGTGCGGTGCCCTGCAGGAAATGAGCCTCCTTTCCCATTTCTGCCTCTGCCTCCAGCGGAAGGCGGGAAGCTGCTGCCGTTGCATCCGCTTCTTACATGTGTTCGTCTTCGTGCTCCACATCCATGGCGGCCACTCCCAGATGTGCGACCCCGCCGACCTGGCGTCGCTTCTGGCCTTCTCCGATGGCTTGGACAGGATGGGCGCCGGGCTGGTCGGATGGGGTCCCAACGACACCTCCTGCTGCTCGTGGACGGGCATTTCATGCGATCTCGGGAGGGTGGTGGAGCTGGATCTCTCCAACCGGAGCCTCTCCCGGAACTCTTTTCGGGGCGTGGCGGTGGCGCAGCTCGGCCGCCTGCCGTGCCTGCGGCGCCTCGACCTCAGCACGAACGGCCTCGTTGGCGCGTTCCCGGCGAGCGGCTTCCCGGCGATCGAGGTGGTGAACGTCTCCTCCAACGGATTCACCGGGCCGCACCCCGCGTTCCCCGGTGCGCCGAACCTGACGGTTCTTGATATCACCGGCAACGCCTTCTCCGGCGGCATCAACGTCACCGCGCTCTGCGCTTCGCCGGTCAAGGTCCTGCGGTTCTCGGCGAATGCCTTCTCTGGTGATGTGCCGGCCGGCTTTGGTCAGTGCAAGCTGCTCAACGACCTCTTCCTTGATGGCAATGGCCTTACTGGGAGCCTCCCCAAGGACTTGTACACGATTCCAGAGTTGAGGTGGCTAAGCTTACAGGAAAATCAGCTCTCTGGCAGCCTCGATAAGGCCCTCGGTAACCTCTCCAAGCTTACCCTGATTGACTTGTCATATAACATGTTCAATGGCAATATCCCTGATGTGTTTGGGAAATTGAGGAGCTTGGAGTCCTTAAACTTGGCTTCCAACCAATTGAATGGCACATTGCCTCTATCCCTGTCGAGCTGCCCGATGCTTAGAGTGGTCAGCCTGAGGAACAATTCGCTGTCCGGTGAGATTACCATTGACTGCAGATTGCTCACGAGGCTGAACAACTTTGATGCTGGGACCAACACGCTGCGTGGTGCTATACCGCCTCGCCTTGCCTCGTGCACTGAGTTGAGGACGCTGAACCTTGCAAGGAACAAGCTTCAGGGGGAGCTACCGGAGAGCTTCAAGAATTTGACATCACTGTCATACCTTTCTCTTACGGGGAATGGTTTTACCAACTTGTCATCAGCATTGCAAGTCTTGCAGCACCTGCCCAACTTAACTAGCTTGGTGCTCACCAATAACTTCCGTGGTGGTGAAACCATGCCAATGGACGGCATCGAAGGGTTCAAGAGAATGCAGGTTCTTGTCCTGGCGAACTGTGCACTCTTGGGCACGGTTCCACCTTGGCTGCAGAGCTTGAAGAGCCTCAGTGTGCTGGATATTTCATGGAACAATTTGCATGGGGAGATCCCGCCATGGTTAGGCAACCTCGACAGTCTTTTCTACATCGATCTGTCCAACAACTCATTCAGTGGGGAGCTTCCTGCAACCTTTACACAGATGAAGAGTTTAATTTCAAGTAATGGCTCAAGTGGGCAGGCGTCAACAGGAGACCTCCCATTATCCTTCGTCAAGAAGAATTCGACTTCCACTGGTAAAGGCTTGCAGTACAACCAACTCAGTAGCTTCCCGTCATCACTGATCCTCTCAAATAACAAGCTTGTTGGGTCAATATTGCCATCCTTTGGCCGTCTAGTGAAGCTTCATGTGCTGGACTTGGGCTTTAACAATTTTTCTGGGCCAATTCCTGATGAGTTATCAAATATGTCGAGCTTGGAAGTACTGGATTTAGCTCACAATGATCTCAGTGGGAGCATACCATCATCTCTAACGAAGCTGAACTTTCTGTCCAAGTTTGATGTTTCGTACAACAATTTGTCTGGAGATGTCCCGGCAGGAGGCCAATTCTCCACGTTCACAGAAGAGGAGTTCGCGGGCAATCCTGCGCTGTGTCGTAGTCAGAGCCAGTCATGCTACAAGCGGGCGGTCACGACTGAAATGAGTTCTGAGACACGTTTTACTTTTGGGCTTTTTTTGACCGTGGAAGCTGGATTTGCCTTTGGACTGTTAACCGTCTGGAACGTACTGTTCTTTGCAAGTTCTTGGAGGGCCGCGTATTTTCAGATGGTTGATAATTTCTTTGATAGGTTTTATGTGATAACAATGGTGAACTTGAACAGACTCAGAAGGAAATGGGAACATAAAGATCATCCTTAAAACAAAGTCAGACGGGGTTCTCCACTAGTTCTAACTAGGCTCTTCAATCGAATTATGTACTCTGTATATTGTATTTCTCCAGCTTTTGGTGTCTTGATTGTTTTCAACTCAGGTGTCATTTAGCAGTGCTGCTTTCACATCGTATTGTAGACATGATTTCCATTTGGTACAGATGTGCCAGTGTTGATAGCTGCGTGGTGGATACTTAAGCTTCAAGTTGTTCTCTCTCTCTGTAATAACTGTAGCTGAACAAAGCCGTTTTGTTAATAGAGATGGGAGAGCTCTTCTTCTCTTTTATATGACTAGTATAATGTCGGTGCGCTGTAACGGAATTGAAATTATGATGTTCAGTTTTTTTTGTCTATGCGTTTTGTAGGTTCATTTTCATGTTGAAATACTGGTTTTTTGGTGGGGTGGTCTACTACTCTACTCTTGGGGATGCTCTTTTAGTAGGAGGACGACGACTCCGTTGGCTCTCCGCAGGCTTGGGCCGTAACCTTCAGGCCTCGTTTTGGGCAGTTCTTTTCTCGGCCTATCTACGCCTATGGGCCAATGAGGGCCCTATTCAAACGAAGTCTGAAATGGCCTAATAATTCTTTGCTTGGTTGGGCTGGGACCTGGGGAGTCTAGGAGTGGACTACTTGAAGCCAGGTGAGTGAACGGTAAGCCCGTGAGAACGAAACACATGCTCAAGTATGGTTGCAGCTCTGGACGGAGAAGGCACATGCGAATGCGATTATACAGGAGTCAAAACCTCATCAACTTGCAGGATTATTCTGTCCAATCTTTATTTAATCATCACGACAGGCCAGCTGTAGATTAGTGCTGCTAAGTGCTAACTAACCGATCAGCTTGTACTCTAGCTCAGCTTCACATGAAAATATACACAGACTGCATGCAAATCAGGCGAGGTACGCACGCGACAGATAAACAATCAGAGAAACACATGCATATAAATAGCCGCAAGTTGGGACTTCGGCTGCAACAATCCAACGCAGCTGTTTTTATACTAGTATTTCTGTGTGCCATCACAGTAGACAACAACCTTTGCTTTCTGCTCCGCCGAATTTTTCCAGTTCACATGAACATACTACTTCGACTGCAGCAGCATCGATACACTGCACAAGAAATTTCCTGCGTCTATAAGCGGTGCATGCATGATCAGAAATTCAGAATTCAGAGATGCAGAGAAGACCAAAATGGAGCAGGCCCGTGAGTGGGAGACTGGAGAGTACGAGTAATGGGCGTAGCTCAATCAGCCGGAAATTTAGGTTAGGTCCCACTATAATGAACCGACTCATTGAGACAAAAACAGAATAATAGAATGGATTATTATACTAGTACAGAACAATTATTCACATCGGAAGCAATTATGCAATGCATTTTGTGATCTTAAGTTCTTAAGTTATGTTGATTTCGGCGATTTCAGTGACCCATCTCACAGCTGAGACAGTGAGCAGCAAGGTGATTACTGTAGATAACAGGCAGCTTCATATCTCGATCGGTTGGCTGGCTGGTTGGCTCCAGATCGACGGCGATCTCATTAAAGAAAGTAATGGTCACGCGTTGCTCCAAACTCCATGGCTGGCACGTACAGGTGCACGAAAACTGCAAACACACCTACCTGCTACAGTACGTACGCGGTGGACACACAAGTGCAGTACAGACGATCGACGTGAGCTGAGCTCTCCCAAGTCCCCAACTATAATCTTTTTTATACCGACAAATTAAAGCGTCGGATTAGCGGCGAGTTTGAACGTGGTAGCCGCATGTAGTAGTAGAATCCAGGCAAGGACAACGCCATCTGATGGGAGGACCCGGAGGAGTTGGTGACGCGCACGCGGCTGGAGTCGGACAGCCGGAGCCGGTGGCCATTTTTTGCTCGGTTGGCGCCGCGAGCGCGCAAGGCGGATGCGTATGCGCGGCGCGCGGGAGGAGACGGGACGGGATGTGGTGGTAGGGGTAGGTGGATGAGGTCGGTTGGTGGGGCGCAGACGGCTCGGCCATCTCGTGCCCGTGGAAGACTGCAGTGTGCAACCAGTAGGGGGTCGATAGCTACTTAGGCCATCCCTAACCTAGAAACCATCTGTTAGATTTCATACTTGTAGAAACTATCTATCAAATGGATGGTGTCTTCAAATTAAATTCTCATCCAATCATCTATATTCTCTCTCCTTTTATGCATCTATCATCTTGTTTTTATTCTTGGTTCCTGTGTATAGATGTTTTCTTGTATGAGAAATGGTTTCTTCATCTTTTTACATCTCTCCTCATTAACTCTTTTGCCACATCACATTTTTGCTTATGTGGCAATGTATTAAATGCTATGGACACTAGATGATATAGAGGGTTGGGGATAGCCTTAACCGGAGGCGACTACGATCCGAACATCCGACAAAAGACAAAACATCGGACGACGTTTTTACCATCTGTAATGTAAAGAAATGTTGTTTTATTGTTAGGCAAAACATGTTTTGACAAAAAAAATGTTAATATATTGTATCACCCAGTCGAAAACATTTCATCGTTCCATAAAAAAATGTTTCAATCAAATGCAACACTAAAAAACAATGACGTTAACACAAAAAATCAAATAATGTAACGTCTAAGGAAAAATGACTGCTCCATTAAGAACTCATCGTACCATTTACAGAACAAAAGAGACTGTGTTTGTAATATTGTAAACATTATGTGTAACATCGAAGACCATGGTGTGATGTGCAACATCCTCGCATATCTAGTTGCTCCCATCGGCCTCACCTTTATCTACATCAGTGTCGCTTTTTCACCTTCTTCTTGGTGACGGTGAGGGACATGTTAGCTATAAGAAGTCTCCTACGCGAAACCATCTCTACTGCCTTCCTTTGTCTCTCCATGGTAGCCTCATTAGGGAAAATGAGGGATGGTAGAGGATATAGAGGGCTAGAAAAGTAGAAGGATAGAGAGGAGCCTTGGGAGGAGGGGGCGATAGCGGTGGCTTGATGACGAGGGGAAAGCAGATGTTGACTAGACATAAGCTTCATTGCAGTAAGAATGAGTTCATCATGGAGGAGAGTTAGTGAAATATATGGATGAGTAATTTACAGATTTTTTTACTCTCGTATTGGACGACCGGTTCGAAGCATTTTTCGTAACTAACCTTATTAATACTCAACTCATTTGAACTTATTTTCCTAATTGTTGAGTTGTGATCCAAATTCATTTGCACTTAATAAAGGCCAGCTTCTGCCGTAGTGGAGCGGAGGTCCGTCGCCGGGAGGCCCTTTTAGGGTTCCACCATATATATACCTCTTGTAAACCACCGTGCGGCGTTGTAACCTTACCTCAGATATAATGAAGATATTTTGCTGGCTGGTGCCCGTGGTTTTTTCTCTCCTGTTTTGGGAGGGTTTTCTACGTTAAATCTCGTGTCTTTGATGATTGATCTATTGTTTTTTATCGTTTGTTCGCCTATCGTTTTCTAACACTAATAAGCCAACTTGGCTCGGCTCGTGAGCTTGATCGATAACAAAGCTATATTTCATTCACTAACCACCAAAGAATTCAATAAATACATATAATTTGAATATAATTAAATATCACATGCTACCTATATATACGATGATCTTTTGTACTAAGGCTGACTGACTTGGGAAGCTCACCAACTAAAACCTCAGTATACATAACTCGACTCGAGTCCGAGTTGAAATGAGCCAAGTTTGATGCGAGCCTTTGTTTTTCTCCCCCACACCCTACTGTGCAATGCAAGTGCAACCGACGATCGCTGTAGTTGTACGTGCCAGAGGGATCTAAAGCAAAGATCCATGCATGATACACGTACGACATGGCCGCTTTTCTCGCGCACCTTTACCGTGCACCCCCAGCAAACACCGGTCACATCCATTCCATGATTCTAGCGCTTTAGATTGAATAGAGGTCAATGGGGTCATCCTAACGTACTCCCTCCCTCCCAAAAAGAGACAAACACTAATTTATTTGCCCAACGTTTGACCGTTCGTCTTATTTGAAAAAAATATGAAAAAAATTAAAAAAACAAGTCACGCATAAAATATTAATTATATTTTATCATCTAACAACAATGAAAATACGAATTATAAACTCAGGGTTTGACTTTTTTTTTGGGACGGATGGAGTAGTATGAACTGTCAAATCCATGATCCCCCGTTGTTGGGTAATTCCACTGTAGCCTGTGACCCGGACCGACGCAAATTTACTCCACAACAACGGAGGCGACCGAGCGCGACGCGGCCGTGAGCCGTGACGAGCTTGTTCCCCCACACGGCCACGGCTGCCGCTCCCCGTGACGACAACGAGTGTAGCGGCCGCGAGAGCGAGAGCGAGACCGTGGCGCGGCCGCGTCGTGGCGCTCTCGGCTTGCAGACGAGACGACGTGGGGCGCGCAGCGCAGGTGGTGGACGGACGCAGCCGCGGACCATGGACTACGCTGCCGCGGCCACAGCCCACAGGAGAAAGCCGAGCGCTCCTCGTCTGACCGTTCGTCACCGTCTCGGTTACCGCGCACGCTTGGCCCCACCTGTCAGGCACACACCAGTTACCGATGGCTGGACGCTGTCCATGGCAGTATGTACCACCGGCCGAGGCAACTGGGGTTTCTGGCTCTGTGGACCAGGTTCACGCCTCTTTTGGCTTCAACTGTGGTGAGGTACAGGACAGGTGGGTCCCGGATCCCCCAAAGCGCAACGACGCCTCGTGAACTAAACCCACGGAAACCAAACCAGATTACCAGAACCGCTTCTTCTTCTTTTGCTTCCTCCGGTATCATTCCAGTTTTGCTACCTCCTCACTTCACTCCTCTCATCTCATCACATCTCATCTCAATCTTTTGCGCCATTCCATCGGAGCTAGCACCCAGCAACTCACGAGCAAGCAAATCAGGTAATAAAGCAGCATCCTCATTCTCTCTCTCTCTCTCTCTCTTGTGCTTTGTTGTTTGATTGCATCTTCTTTTGGGGGCGGAGAATCATACGCATTCCACGGGCCCTTTGATTCCAGGGCTCGGATCCGGCTGTTGTGCATGGCCAAGCTGGGGGCTTGTGTTCGTCGTGTGTGATTGGGCTGCTTGGGTTGTTTGCTGCAAAATCTGTCACTCGTTTTGTTTGGGTTCTTGGCAATGTAGCTGCTGGTTTTCTATGACTGGTCTCAAGTTCCGAGTTTAATGCAATGCGGGAGGGATTTGTGAAATTACAGCAATTTCTTAAGCTTTTTTTCCTTCTTGGTAGGCGGTACATGCCGTGGTTAACATTCTTGTTAGCTGCAGGCTGCGGCTGATCGGTGAGGCGAGCACTAAGAGTATTTTTGACGTGTTTACCGGAATGTATTTCCGCTATTGCTCCGAAATGGTTGGGGTTTTCAGTGTTATCTGTGAGAAAAGATTAGTCTTTTCTTTTATATTTTCTAAAAAAAAGGATCAGTATTTTATTGCTCGCGTGAACTGCATTTGCATCAGTTCTGCTTTTTATTTAAAAAATCGTTGTTAGTCCTGCTCTGCCAAACTAAAGTTTTAGTTGCTTTGTACAGAGTATTGGTCCAAATTGCATTGAGCATTTTCAGCACAAATTGATACTGATAAACTGCTGCGACCTACTTCTGCAGGTTTAGATAGCAAGGAGGCCGCAGAGAAGTGGAGAGGACTCACGAATCACGATCCATTTCTATCTTGAGGGAATTGGGGATAGCAAAAGTCAGTGAAAAGGTACTTTTTAGTTCTGACCCATTTCTTACATCGTCACTTTTATTAAGTGTGTGCTTCAGATTCCTAGTGGTAGGAATGACCCAACAAAGACCATTTCCAACTAGGTTATGCACTGCTTTAGTTTTAGCATTATGTGTGGTGTAGCTTGAGAGCATGTGGGCCAATTGGGATGCATTTGCTGTTGTTAATTTTACCTATCCGTTTGTCTTATCTGCTTTGCAACATTGCATACATATGGGGATCTTGCACGGTTGGAAAAGACTTCACAATCTTGGCACGGCCCTCTCAGATCCTACTTATTGGCTGCAATATTCGTATGAAATGCTAGCTTGATGCTTGTTCTTGTGTTTCTTACTCCTACCTATCTGTTTTTTCCCCTTTAGTTTGCATCAGTTAGTCAGTTTCATTCATTTCATTTGTCATTTGCTTGTTTTCCTGTCTGTAGTTGGCGTGTTGCACGTTTCACATTCGCTGTGGGGTAAGCTTTTCTTATGGAAGAAGGTTTACTGCAGGTTAGTAGCGCTATTGTATCTGTGCATTTTTCTTTTTGGAAGTATGGCTACTTTACTTAATCGTATTGCTTAGACATTGAAAGGTTGGATTAGCTTGAGGAGATTGTATAAGAAACTAATGATAGTGCGATACTGAATTGTGCGTGTACTGCATCATGATTGCTGCAGTAAGATAGGTGCAGCCTTTATAATTAGTTGGTTTGGTCTCAAAGCTTACAAATGAAAGCTTGTAAGAAATCATTATGTTCCGTACAATTGTTCTGGTGCTTTAATAATGTTGTTTTGTTGTGCTTTGCCAAATGATGGTTTGCTTACCGTTACTAATAGAGAGTATGGAGACGTCCTACTAGTGGTTGGTAAAGCATGTTAGCACACTTTTCCATTTGGTGCTGTATAAGATGATAGTACAATAATATAATCATATTGGCAGATGGGGCATGTTATTAGTACTTTGAGATCTTATGGCTACTAAACGTGATTTTGCACATGGCATTGAAGTGAGAGATTTCTTGCAGGGCCAGATGACAAGCATGGACAAGGCAGCAAATGTGGTATTGGATATTGAAGGGCTGCCTCAGCAACCTGATAAATGCTGCACTGGAAGTCCAAAAATGACTGTATGTTCAATGACTCACATAAGACCAAAAAGAAAAGGATAGTGGTTATCTCACTCTCCCACCCTTCCATTTTTTATGTGCAGAGAGCCCTATCTCGCAAGGGCTCAAATCGCATGGAAAGGAGGAGCGGTGAAGAGCAGGAACAAGATGACTTGGTGAAGAAACTTATTATTAAGGGTAACAAGCTACTGTTCTTCTCTGAATTCTTTTTTTCTTAAAAAAGTTGTAGTCTCTGTAATTCTAAATTTTTCATTTTGCATACTTAAAACCAAACAGCTTATATTTTGTTTGGATCAACTCAAACCATAATCTTTGTGAAGTTCCATTTGATCTTAGCCATCATCACATTGTGTCCGTGAGCTGTATGTAGATGAGAAAAAGGTCAAAAGCGGCTAGCTTTCTTTTGTGTGATTGCTTGTATTTCCATCCAGCGGATTTTTTCTATCATGTTCCTACGATATGTGGCCTGCAGATCGAGGAGCCTTGTTTCTCCAATTCCAACTTTACATTTAGCTAAATAAGTATTGGCTTGGTATTCTCGGACTTTAGTAGCTTGTACTTCTGTTTACATCCAAGCCTAATAATCTTAATTTTAGCATCATTTTTATAAGTAAGGATATTTGTTTTCCTTTTTTATTGTACTACACTCATCTGGTATGCCACAGCATCAACACTGACAGCTGTTTTTTTTTTTGCCCTTTTGTTGGATATTTATCTCCACAGTTGTGCCATCTCAGTTGGAGCAGCTTAAGATGCCCCTGGTGCAGAACAAAGCCTTGGTCACTCCACAATCACAATGTGCTGCCTGTGCACCTATTCTAACTGACTCTGGGGAAGGAAGGAACAAGAAGTTTAATCGACTTACTTCGGTTCACCCCCGGAAAATCCTACTGTTCTTTGCAACTCTGTAAGTCACTTGCCTTTCTGAAATTGTAATATGTCTATGCTGTTGAAGCAACTGGTCTGAGACACTGAGTTTGGTTTCCAATTGGTACCATGCCCCCCACAAGTGGTCCATGTTCTGGTGTGTGCTTCTCTGTACTGTTCAACTGCACTTGAATAGTGTGGCGTGGTTTTCTTGTCAGTCATTATCATAGTAATCTGCTACACAATTTCCTGAACATACTGTACTCTATCCCTTGCTTGCCCATTTGTCTAGGTTTGAGGCCCTAGTCAGTATGCACGTTCACACATTAACTGTATTGCATGCTCCAAGAGATTATTTGTGTATTCATAGCAGAAACACTGATTGATGGTACGCATTTATGCCATTGATGGTACAAATATCATTTGCTTGTGTTTTTAGCTGCTTGTTTTCTAAGCCACATCTTCCTTCTCTTTTACAAACCTATTATACCCATTTTGATTTCTCTTCCTTGTTTCTCGTCGCAGGTCGAGCGTGGGCACAATGATACTGATATACTTCACGCTCGCAATCAACGGTGGCAAAGCGGAGGCGTAGTCGTCACCGGAGCGAAACACGACAACGGTTTCAGAAGTGCATTTCATAGCTGGAATTTTCGCTTCTCGTTATCAGATTTTGGTTTGTTTGGGAGGAGAGAACTGGAGGAGGAAGCAACAGTAGCAGCAGCAATGATGCAGCCAGGCTCTCATGCCTGACACACAATGCTGGGAGTGTTGCTCGATCAGTGCTCCATTGTCACCTTTGCCTGACCTGATCTCCCTGAATTCTTTTGATCTGTACATGTAAATTGCTGTGAGGCCTTTGTTGAGAGGTAGAGAGAGAGAGAAAGAGAGATCCATGGATTGTTGTTGGTGTAAATGAGCTGGGGCGAAGCTATCCATTTCTGCCATGCGAGTCCCAGCTTAGCTGTAAAAGATCTGAAGCGAATAATTATGCCTTTGTGGAGTTGCAGTGCATCTGGGGTTCGGTTCTTGAATGCTCGTTTTCTGCTAGTGGCACTGGCACCGCCAACGACTCCCATTTACGATATGCGCGCAGGCTCTGCATTTTCTCTGCACTCTGCATTACACACGTGCTATTTGTCAGTCAGCTATAGCATAAACCTGTGGAATACTCTGTATATTGCAAATTCAAGGTAATTAGTTTACATTTATATTTGCGTAGTTTCAGCCAGATACTGTTTTTTTTTTCTCCTCTGAACTACCCCTCCGTTTCAGGATATAAGACTTTCTAGCATTGTCCACATCCATATATATATATATATATATATATATATATATATATATATATATATATATATATATATATATATATATATTAATGAATCTAGACATACATGTGTGCCTGAATTCATTAACATCTATATGAATATGGGCAATGCTAGAAAGTCTTATAATATGAAAGAGAAAGTAGTATATAATTTTGTTCATATCAATAGGATGCATCAAACACATTTTAGGTTGGTTTCGTGAACTGAGCGGCTCAGACGGAATTGAAAGTTTTAGAGTTGGCATAGGAAATTGTATTTTTTTTCCTGGGATTTTTAATGTGGATGCGCTCAGCATGGTTTGATAAACAAGGACTACAATGTTTTATAGTAACTCTAAAATTAAGTTTTAAAATTTAAATTCTGGCTGCAGCTCATAAGCTCAAGAGCGAACTATGGAGCTTTGGGATTAGGGAGTTGGCACAGCCTATTTTTCACTTTCATTTGTCATTTGCTCGTTTTCACTGCTTTCATGCACCATTCTTCCCTTGGTTTTCAGGATTAGCATGAACTTATTTTATGTTACTAGCCAAACAATACCTATGAGTTACAACAGGTTATTCAAAATAGCTAAAATAATATTTCATTCTTATTGGAAAAAAAATATTAGCTTCTACTTGAGAAACAAGATTCTTCATCTTAAAAAATAAAAAGAAAATCAATGGCTCCATCTGCTTTAACAAAATGCCCTTTTCATACTTCTTACCGTAAAAAATCGTCGGTGGTGTTTCCTTTTCACAAACCGAAATCGCAATGTAGGCCGAAATTATCTCGAGGCCGAGGCCCAACAAAAGTTTGTGTCCGTGGCCGTGGCCGTGGCCTGCTTCATCCGGGCGGCGTGCGGCGCGTGCAGTTGCGGGCCTCGCGAGCGAGCGAGCGAGCGATCTCCATCCCCAACCTCAACAATCCCCTTCCCTTCCCCCATCGCGCGATGCTGGTGGAGTGTGGCGTCGCGACCTAGCCCTAGCCCTAGCGCCACCGCCACCGCCACCGCCACCGCCTGCTCGCTCGCTCGATTCCCCGGCTCCCCGTCGCTACCTCGCTACCTCGCCGCGCCGCCACAGCCGCCGGCGCCGTCTCTCACCGGGATCGGGACAACAAGCGCCGCGCCGTTCAGTCAGGCGACGGGGGCGTGCGTCTCCGCTCTCTGGGGGGCCTCGACGTCGCCTCGCCGGTGTTTCGGAAGACCGTCGGCCTGGTTGGTATCTCTGATTGCTTGATTACTGCTAGGGAATGGATGGGTGGATGTCGTCGACGGGGTGGGTTTAGCTTTAGCGGATTAGCGCGTATCACATCCCCTGATTCCAGTCGAGTAGACAGGATAATAGCAGGTGGAGGGTTTGAATTTTTTAGTTATATAAAAGGATACCTTACGTTGGTGCTGTTTGATGGATTGGTAGAGGTGGTGCTATTCTTCCCTTCATCAGAATGTCAAGCGGCTTGCTTCGTGTGTAGATTACTACTAGTATTTTTAGGGTTTGGGTGCCTGCTAATGTCACCGAATAGGTTTCGTTAGCTTCTTATTAATGTTTTTAATGCACTTTGTCGCGATATGGATAGCGAGAACTGCTATTTGTGCCGTTTTGAGATGGTGTGTGTAATTTACTATGTCGTTATGGGATGTTTTTTTTTTTGTCTATTCCTTTGGCTCACGTGTCCCTCCTGCTGCAATACTCATTTTTGTTTGTTGGATGATCAGTTGTTTGAACCGCTTACCTTTTTTATAGGCGCATATAAAAGTGATTTGGTGGTCCTGGAGTATTCATTTGGTCATGTATTCTATATTTTGGAAACTTAAGTTTTAATGGATTAATCTAGTGGAGGATGTAGTCAAGAATTTTCTTTTGTTGGTTCCTAAGAGATTTCTTGGCTCGCAAGTTGCAACGCGAATTGGGCTCTCATGTATTTTACTATTTTAGAAAGCTTTTAATTATCACAGATATAGTAGCCGAACAGATTGGATATAGCTGTGTATTCGAGACATCTGTTTGTTATCTTATACAGGGCATGCTCCGCCACTGAAGTCAAAATGTAGGGAGATCTGTTAAGTTGTATACCATATTAGGCTTAGTTTATTCTTTTATCTTTCTCCATTTGTTCTGCTAGGAACTGAGCTATCCCATGGCATCACCACAAGAATCCAATTCCTTGTGCTTGAAGCGCAAGCTTGTTGATGACTGCCTGTCAAAAGAGTGCAAGTCTCGTCGCATCAAAACTGAGAAGGGACCATCATCTGATTCATCTGCCAAGCGCTGCAAATGCTGTTGCACTCGACCTAACCTTGCCAGTGATTGTGTCAATTACCTAAAAAGTGGAGTGCCCAGCCGTGTTATGTTTTACAAACAGGGTTCTTGGCACAATTTTCCTGAGCAGATAATGAAGTCTCTCATTGAAGAATTTAGAAGCAATAAATCTAGTGTTGTTGCTGTGATGGACGATGAGCCTGTTCTTGTTGATTTCTTGTCGATGACCCTGGTCAACCTAAAATCTAGAAAGCAGCGGTCTGTGGCATGGTTTGATGACACTGGGAAGTGCTTTTATCCTTCTCTATTCTTTGATGAGGAAGCTGATGAAGTGGCTAAAGTAGGCGGTGATTTTGAGGGCGCCACACAGGGAATAATGTTGGATAAGGTTGCAAATTCTCCACCAGAAGTGGTGAAGCAAGTTGTCCTTGAATCTAGTCCTCCAGTTCCACAGAAGCCTGCCACTGCAGACATATTACGCAAAAAGATCGCATCTGTGGAACGAGGCAGTGAAGGCTTTCTTTTTGCGCAGGACCTTTTCCTCTCTGGCATGGGTCCATTTGCAACGCCAAATAATATACTGCACATCCACCGCTACTCTCCGAATGATATCACTGCACAGTGTAGACTTCAAGCTTTTGAAAAACAAATGATGTCCACCAAGGAAGAACGTGGTGATGCAAATGTAAGGTATGGATGGCTGGGATCTAGGAAGAATGACATAGTTAGGATCCTAATTAATGGTTTTGGTAACAATGGAAAACCTGCTGAGAAGGCAGGCTTGAGTGCTGGTGTTTATCTTTCACCAGAAGACCGAGCATTTTCCAGGTACTTTTTATAAACTTAAAAAAATGTATTGACCATTCCATTTTAATTGTTTATGTATTTACATTATATCTTGCTTGACAGTGTTGGTCTTTGTGATGTTGACGAAAAAGGAGTGCAATATATGTTGCTCTGCCGGTTGATTTTGGGGAACATGGAGGCTGTCATGCCTGGATCACAAGATTCTTTTCCAAGCAGTGACATATATGATTCTGGTGTTGATGATTGCTCAAATCCAAAGTGCTACGTCATGTGGCCATCTCATCTTAGCACCCATATTCGTTTAGAATATCTTGTTAGTTTCAGGCTTTCCTCGAAAGTTCGAAGTAAGATGATAAATAATAGTTAAAGGTTTTTATCATGTTTTGTTGATATAGGTGGAGTGATATATTTTTTGGTTCACTTGTTTTCAGATTATTTACTTGGTTTGAAGGGTTTATGGTTTCACCCATCACCAAAGGAAGTTGCGGTGGATATTTCTACTCTTGTACCTGTGAGGCAACCTAGTTTTCTTCGTTTCTTCTTTTCCATTGACACTCTGGTTTTCCAGCTAGATGTGCATGTACTGCTAACAGTGGTAGAATAGAAGTCTGATCTGAGAGCAATCCAATTTCACTACAGATTGTTCCTCCCTTCTTTAAATGACAAATGATCTTGGCTTTGTTGTACATTTTTATGCAGATAATGAGTGGAAATGCTGAGGGACCAACTTCCCCTTGGATATCCTTCAGAGTTCTTTTTGCCATGATTCAAGAAAATATATCATCGGTAGCAAGGGAATTGCTCTTCCATCATTATGAAGAGCTGAAGGTACTAACTAACCAACAAGTTACACTGTGTTTATTTATTAGCATTGGCTGTGTGGTTGGTTGGTGTGATGGGTACTAAAATGTTTTAATTGTTTATTTGACAGGAAAACAAAATAACTCGTGAGGAGATGGTAAAGCAAATGATAATATTAGTTGGAGAGAAGTTGCTTTTGGAAACCTTGAAGAGGCTTCATTACTGTGTAAGTCGGCTGTCCCCTGCTGTTATCCTTCGAAACAATTTCTGGTGACATATGCTTGTTTTCTCAGTTCACATCCATACTAAGGATACTTTTAATGCTCATATACTTTTAATACATTATGGACAAGTTTGCATACGACAACAGGCACAATTTTAGGAAGTTTTTGTTCAGGTGTTGCAATTTTTATAAGATGGTTTATTATCACATTGTTTATCAAATCACACATATTTGTCAAATAAAGAAATATCTGCTAAATTTTTTAAACGAGTAATAAGAAAATTGGTAGGGGCTAGGAAACTAGCAAGGCCTTGAAAAAAATATAGGGAACTCTCAAAGCAGCCAAACATGCCTAAAACAGGCACAGGCCTTTTGAATTCATGTTTGGATAAATTATTTGGAAATTTTCCTCACTTGTTTCAGGCATCCTCTTATTTTTACTGTACCAGTTTATCTGTACTCATATTTCACATAGCTGTTGCTGCATCTGTACTGGTGTGATTAACTGCACCTTTCTTCTGATGCCATTGTGTCCTTGGCTTCTGTTGCAGCCATCATTATGGTATAAATCTGCTGGCAAAATAGCATCTTCTGATCCTGCGAGGACAGCTGCAGAAGACAGGTCTTTGGATCAAACTGGGAATTGTTCATTAATTGTTAGTGTTGCGCATGGTGATTCTCATGCCCCAAATGCAGTAGCTGAAAACAGCACCAGTCTTTGCACCAAAGGATGTGATACTCCTGCAACAGGCATGATTTCCAAGGGCTATGATTCTCTGGCACCAAAAGGTGTGCCGGAAACTTCTACTTCTGTCGGCCCCGTACATGGGGCTTCTCCAAGTGTGGAACCCAAAGTGAGGGATTCTCCTATACAAACCGTTTTATCAGGAAACATTGCTACTGATTGTGCCAAAAGGCAAGATCCATTGGTATCAAGAGTGGCACCTGTAGCTCATAATGGCCTTTTAAGGATGCCATCTGGAAAATCAGCATCTCTCGCAGCGCAAGTTTGCAATTCTGTTAGACCAAGCACAGGACCTTCAGGTCGTGCTTCTACAGAACCAAATAATGCCTCTAAAAGTTGTGGGATTTTTGCTCCGGGTATCAGGCCAAAGGGTGGTGAATCTCTTGTTCCTAGTTTGGCATTAGGAAATTCCAAATATGCAGGTGTAGAAGGTCTCAATTCTGCACCAAGAGCGACACCTCCGGGTATTAGGCCAAAGGGCGGTGAATCTCTTGTTCATGGTTTGGCATTGGGAAATTCCAAATGTGCAGGAGCAGAAGGTATCAATTCTGCACCAAGAGTGACTCCACTGGGTATCAGGCCAAAGGGCGGTGAATCTATTGCTCCTAGTTTGGCATTGGGAAATTCCAAATGTGCAGGTGCAGAAGGTATCAATTCTGCACCAAGAGTGACTCCTCCGGGTATCAGGCCAAAGGGCGGTGAATCTATTGCTCCTAGTTTGGCACTGGGGAATTCCAAATGTGCAGGTGCAGAAGGTCTCAATTCTGCACCAAGAGTGACACCTCCCGGTATCAGGCCAAAGGGCGGTGAATCTTTTGTTCCTAGTTTGGCATTGGGAAATTCCAAATGTGCAGGTGCAGAAGGTCTCAATTCTGCACCAAGAGTGACACCTAAAGACAAGGAGTTTCTTTCATTGAGTATTTCATCACAACAAAGCCCAGTTCTTAATTCAGGTAAAGGCCATGATGGGACATCAGGTGCCGCACGTCCAGTACATGCACCAGGTTTACCCTCTTCCAACTGCAGATCATCTGTAGCACTTCAAGGGTTATTCTTGTGTACAAAATGTAGATAATCAATGCTTTCATTAACGTGCAGGGCATGGAAATCCTAAAGCTTTGGCCACTGAGGCCCGTGGTTCTCTATCTCTGAGTATTGCACCGAATGTCCATGACCCTCCAGCATCAAGTAAGGAGCCTAAGGACGATGCATCTCCAATAGCAGGCATGGTCTCAGAAAGCCAGCACTCTCAAGCACCTAATGCAGTCACCAAGGGGTATAATGCTCCCACACCCAGTACGGTGCTTGGAAACTCTTGCCATGGAACAACATTGTTGGTAACATCACTTGTTTTTTTGCTAACTCTCATGCTTCCTTGGTGACTGCAGTACCTAAGGAGTCAAAAGGCCAGCATTTACAGAGTGGAGTGCACAGTCAATCGTCTGGGCCAGACGATGCTAGCAGCAGCAATGTCGCTCGGGCAGCTGATACCATCGTCGCCCTATCAACTCTTCGAGAGAAGGGCAGGTAGATGTTGCAGCCCCTTGTGCTGATCGCTCTTTGCTTTTTGCTGGGCCGTTCTCTAGTGCTGTACATGTGATGTGAATGTTATACACCGTCCTGCCCAAAAAGCGTTTACCGTCGTACCATGGTCCATGGGTCGGTCCGTTTAACTTATAGGTGGTGTAAACCGGTTGGATGGATTCGTTTGTTGTAGGTTACCTGTCACCTTGTCGACTTGAACGTGAATCGTTGCACATCCCTGGCAGTAAACTTTGTCATGGCTGGTATCTTCGGTGTCCGTATGGGTTGTGTTGCCTCGGTGTCCGTATGGGTTGTGTTGCTTCGGTGTCCATATGGGTTGTGTTGCCGGTTTTCCAGTTAGCTATACATACCTGCCTAGTTCCCATGTCAAATTTAATCTTTCGTTTACTCTAGTGTACATTTAGTGTTCCTGGAATATATGGGTAGTGCTAGATAGTAGTTTTGAGATGCCAATATGCAAGCTTGGTTGGCATAGATTGATAGATAGGCTTGTGTTGGGCTGTTTTTGCCTGGGATCCAGTCTATTCTCTATGTAGACTATGGGCAGGATTTCCATCTAAATTTCGGCCCAAGTACTATTTTTCACAGTTTTAGCGGAGGGCATTCTCTATAGTCTATACATACCCATCCAGAATTTAATCATATAAAAGCCTAGTAGTTTGAGAAATGATTCGATTGAGCAAAAGGCTAGTCGAGCCTAGCAACAAATGGAATGGACAAAAGGCTTGAGCATTTAGCATGTAGCCATTATATACCATCTCGTGCTGCTTGCCACGTCGGATCATGATGGCTTGCACTGGAAAGGCCAGTCTAGCCTTTAGGCCATTTGAGTGCCAAGCAGCACACACACATGGCACTTTGATGAGTCTTTCCTCCTTTCGCTGCCTGGCAATCGTGGCACTTTGAGGTGATGTCTCCCTTGCTTAATTAGTAGGCACACTGACCTGCCTGTCAAAGAATGATATGATTACTCGATCGTAGTAGACTTTTTTTGTTAACTAGGATGCCTGCACCATTAACCTCCACTAATCGGGGTGTAAAGATTCATCAGACATCTGAGTCCCAGTTCAGATAGCATTAACCTCCACTGATGATGCTAGTGGTGTCGCCTCATGTCAGTGTATGTCACCCTGCAATTTGGTCTTCCCTGGATAAAAGCTTTGTGGAAGATGAATGGATAAAATAAGCATAAAAAAATGAAACAAGAGGAGCACCAGATGAAAACTCAAAACTATACTGTCAGTCTGTCATGATTGATCAGCATTGATTAAAGATTTTTTTCTGGAAAATGTCTATCATAATAACCAACAGAAATACTTTGTGATGAATTGAGCAGTCACAATGTGCACTATAGATTCTTTTGTGATAAGCCCCAAAAAAGAAAAAAAAAGGAGAACGATGCTATCAGGAGAACCATGTCGTGGTCTGCACTCCAACAAAGTAGAAATGCTGTGTTCTTTCAGAAAGAAGTAGAAATGCTGTGCAAGTGGAGGAACAGAATCACATACTCCATTTTCTCCCCGGCATTTCTAGTCCAAAGTCAAAACAAGAACAAGAACCTTTGGATGGTCCAACTAAAACTTTCTTGGAAACGTACGGTTGATTTTGATCGATGGCCCAGCACCCAGAATCTGAACTTCTGAAGCTTGAAAGAACACGCATAATTTTCAGCTGGAATTGGTTTGCATCATTATTTCAAACCTTGAACAGCTGCAACTGTAAAACATTGACCAGCGGCTTAATTACAGTTTGAACATATAGCAAATCACTAAACAGTAAAAAAAAAGAAACACTTGCCTGTGGCAAATTAAAGAAAATTAGCAACGAATCAAGGAACCCACGTGAAGTGAAAGTGAAATGCAGGCATGAATAAATGCACGGCACTAGAAGTGGAAATGGCACAATTTGGAATCAACACACAAGTGGTAACCTATGCTTGCATTAGCAGTGGTGGTCGCCTGGGCATGCACGTCAAAATTAATCCCTGGCGATTAAGCGATCCTAATGATGATCATTGACGCGAAAACAGTCGCCATGGCCGGCCGGTTTCTCGTGTTCATCGAACAGGATCATCACTGGTACTGTGCTACTAGGCACCACACCAAGGCAGGCATGCATGCTTAGCTTTGCGAAAAAGTTGAAAGGCTGACACTTAACCACCACCACCACCTGCAGCTAATAGCTAGTACGCCAAATGCAGAGGCCCATCTCATTCATGCTCCTAGCTATATATATCCATCCAGTTCTTTTTTTTTCATGGACCCATATCTAAAATCACTCTGGTTTCCTTCTTTTCCCTTGTGAGATTCGGTCTCGAATCAACAAATTAGGAGGGTAGATTCGTCATATATTCCGCGCAATATTAGGCTTCCTTTGGAATGGAGAAATTTTAGAGATTCCTTTTATGAAAATTGAAGTAATTCGTGTAAAAATCCTGAAATTTTTGTATATGTTCTGAAGGAGCCCTGCTGCTAGCTAGGCCCTTAACTGTGCAATTTGTGAAATATGTTTCTTCCCAAACATGCTTTAAATTGAGAGATGAACCTAATGTAATACATGATTCCACCTTGAATTTGATAAGTTCAAAAAATGGACGGCTTTAATTTTTCACCTAAGTAATATATTTAGTTTCTAAATTTCATGCGATTTAAATTAGAGGTAGTTAAATGCAGTTAAATTTGCACGGAGTTGGTTTAAAAAATATCACTCCATGTCCATTGATAAAAAAAAAACTTGTGTTAAGAAATGACCTATGGTGAACAACATCATATATGAGACAGGGAGCTCAAAGCACGAGTTAGAGCGGATTCTGCATGTCGAGAGGCTAGGCTTCGTGACCTTTTTTTTTTTAACTGAATTTGGTCGAGGTCTTTCTTACTACCCATCAAAAAACATAAAAACCTGGAACTGGATAGGACTGTCGAGTGGTCTACTCCTTCTTGTTTTCTTTTTTCTTTAAAGAAATACATCCCTTTAAAAAAACAAATATGTTTTATTATAATAATAGAAGCTTCACTTATCTCAGTCAAGTATACATCGAGGTGATCCAATTACACCGAGAGCACTCCCAAACTCGGCATCACTAAAATGCACACAGCCAAACACACACTCAAACGCTAAAAGAGAGATCATAGAGAGTATTAAGGACCATCAATCATAAATTGCATAAACATTATTCTTTCTCCAAACCTATAATTAACAAATTTCTTAGATAATGTTTTGACAGAAGAGAGCTTAGGTACGGACATATAGGTGAGCGGCTCAACGCGTTTCAAGCCTTCAACGTACAGCCGGTCCAACGTACGATTCTCATATATACCTTCCTTGAAATAAACTCAGACCTTATTAATCAAATTTTCTTCTTTCCCTCTCAACATCAAGTTCAAAATCCAGCTAAATTTGCAATACTAAAACCTGTACTTGTTCGACAATGACTGGTATTTTAATGAACGATTAAGCAGCAGCTGTCTGATCGATCTGGTGATCTCATCATTTTTTCCCCCTAATTAAGACTCGCTGGAGACCACAACATCGTTAGATCGCCGACTACGACTGCTGCCACTGACCAGCTGCCAAGTGCATATGCAGATCAGACAAACAAGTTTTGGTCAAAATTTTCGCGTAAGCTTCCGTTTGTCCGAGAGATTATTCTCCTAATCTTGATGCGTACGTACGTGGCTACGTTAGCTCCAGCGGCAGTGTGGCTGGCGATCGAAATGACGAGCAAATTAACCATCCATCGCATGCAGCGTGCGACGACTGTCCACGTGCGCCGCCGGCATGTGTTGACTGAACTTGCTGCCGTCTTGCAGATCTAAACTTAAATTCATCTCGCTTTCAGATGTAAACGTTTCAATGTAGCGTTTACTTCAAGCTCTTCTTGCTTCTAGATTATTTATAACCTGTTCGTAATAGGAGAATGCAAATGGCAGCATGCTTTTTCTGAGCTTCTAAATGGTATGTTATTTTTTTAAAGGGGCAATTGCAAATTTACCACTACTTTAAATCATTATTGCAAGACTGTCACTAGAAAATTGCAAAAATGCCACTAGAACTATCATTCGAGTGGCATCCTTGTAATATTGAAAAAACCGGTGGCAAATTTGCAAATTCCCCTTTTTTAAAAGAACTTTTAATATATGTTCTTTTATACTTATATGTTTTAAATCCACCTTTCAGTTTCATAACAGTTAATTTATTTATTTATATTCTCGAATAATTATCACATATCATTCATGTATTGGCCGTTCCAGTCCATTCATTAAAAAAATAAATATTATTAGAAAGCAAGTTGAACCGCTTTAAATAATTTAGGGTGTAAAATAAGCTGAAAAAAATTGCTTAGGGGTTAAGTGTTCAACAGAAATAGTTTGGAAGTAAAATGAACCTTTTTTTCAAAAAGAGAAAAAAAGACGCTTTCAACTGTATGATACTGCAAGCAACAGAAATTAATGATGTAGTATTATGCATATATATATATATATGGAGTAAATTAAAGATTCCATGTATGAAAAATGCAGGTTTAACTAACTGGCGCTGAAGTCAAAGTTATCTGATTTTTTTGTCGTCCTGTTTTCTTGGTTAGAGTCCTATGGGCATATAGAAACCTAAGTTTTGTATGAATCGAATCTTGTTTTGGTTTTGACAATTTTGTGGGTTTGCACCTAACGGATCAACCTACCCTAATTGTTAATGGGTGAGAACTGAGCTTAAATATTAGCTGTAACCAGTTCTACTTAGTTTTAATAAGTTATTAATTAGCAGCTAATGTCTCATCTAGCTAGCTCAAAGTGCCTGCCTTGGCGTCACATACTCACATGCAATGCAAAGCTTAATTCAGCTAGCATGCATTGGCATGTTTCTCTGCATAGACTGGCTTAGTGCGTACGTGATCGATCCACCCATATGAATTAATTTCTTACCGTAATCAAGGGCATGATTTAGGGGATTTAATTAATCGATCTCTTCTGCCACTGTTACACTCTGAACTGATGAATTCCTTGCAAGCCTCGTCCTTAGTTAATCTTGCCTCTTTATTTGTTCTTGACAAATTAAGGAAAATCGAAAAATGTAATAGCCTTTTCCATCCTATATTGATTTGCAATATATCATGCCATAATAATTGGATTCCTGCTCATCAACAAAACAAGTTGGGAAGTTGACTTGTATTGTGTGGGGGCAGAACAAGGTGACTAGGTGAGGAGTTGGTGGTCATGTGTGTCGACCAAAACTTGGATAATCTATTCGGTTTCTTTTTCAGGATCAACGCTTGCACTATCTTCTTGGCATGCAGTTCTGGTCTGACATGATCTAGCAACTCCACTGACCACTGTATGATCCCAGCCCTTTTCTCACTGTCATCACCATATGG